GAGGTCTTGTTGCTCTGTATGTGTATATTTATAGAGGCATGTTTACAGGACAGAACACATCGTGTCTGTTCTGTACGGTCTAAAAGCAAATGCTTATTCTCTGGCTACTTTTTTCATGACCTCAAAAAAACTTATTAGGACTTGCACTGTAAAAAGTTGAAGCCTTTAGACCTGGTACAGACCCATTTTAATGCATGAAAGGTAAAACCAGCTATTGGACTCCCCCAACTCTGGTCTAATTAAGTAGAGAATTTCAAAGTAGGCAAGCTAAAACTTTATGTCATCAGGAACAATAGCCTTTTCCTTTTCAGACTTGCATACCAACTCTTCCCTAACTGTACTTTTATTTTACATTGATAACAGCTGGTTCTTCAGCGACTTAGTAGCATTCTTCATTTGAAAGGAGAAAAGACCAGTATTTATCAGGTAAGCCCTTAGGTAAAACAGGTAGTCAGTCTGTCATGTCAATACAAAAACTTCAAGCTTTATCTTAAAGTAATATGGAAATATGCAACTTTTCTATTCTTTCTGTTTATTGTTCTGTTCTATGTATGTGACTGACCAAAAAGTAGCATTTTTGCACTAGACATGAGTGAATCAGTATGTATTTATTTTAATAACATGAAGATACTTGATAATTAGGAATAAGTGTAACCTATGTTTGTACCAAGGCTATTCCACACCGTGGTGGGTTAACCCTGGCTGGAGGACAGGTGCCCACCAAATCTGGTCTGTCACTCCCCTCCTCAGCTGGACAGGGGAGAGAAAATATAACAAAAGGCTTGTGGGTCGAGATAAGGGCAGGAGAGATCACTCACCAGTTACTGTCACGGACAAAATAGACTCAGATTGGGGAAAATTAACTCAATTTATTACCAATCAACCAGAATAGGGTAATGAGAAATAAAACCAAATCTTAAAAGACCTTCCCCCCCCACTCCCTTCTTCCCGGGCTCAACTCCACTCCTGATTTTTCTCTACCTCCACTCTCCCAGCGTCACAGGGGGATGGGGATTGGGGGTTGGGGTCAGTTCATCACACGTTGCCTCTGCTGCTCCTTCCTCCTCAGGGAGAGGATTCCTCACACTCTTCCCCTGCTCCAGTGTGGGGTCCCTCCCACGGGAGACAGTCCTCCATGAACTTCTCCAGCATGAGTCCTTCCCATGGACTGCAGTTCTTCACAGACTGCTCCAGTGTGAGTCCCCCGTGGGGTCACAAGTCCTGCCAGAAAACCTGCTCCGTGGGCTCCTCTCTCCACAGATCCGCAGGTCCTGCCAGGAGCCTGCTCCAGTGCGGGCTTCCCACGGGGTCACAGCCTCCTTTGGGCATCCCCCTGCTCCAGCGTGGGGTCATCCCTGGGCTGCAGGTGGAGATCTGCTCCCCCATGGAGCTCCCTGGGCTGCAGGGGGACAGCCTGCCTCACCATGGTCTTCCCCACGGGCTGCAGGGGAATCTCTGCTCCAGCGCCTGGAGCATCTGCTCCCCTCCTTCTGCACTGACCTGGGGGTCTGCGGGGCTGTTGCTCTCACATATTCTCACCTTTCCCTCTGGCTGCAGTTTCTGTTCCACAGCAACTTTTTTTCCCTTCTTAAATCTGTTGTCCCAGAGGCACTACCACTGTTCCTGATGGGCTCAGCCTTGGCCAGTGGCGGGTCCAACTTGGAGCTGGCTGGTATTGGCTCTATCAGACATGGGGGAAGCTTCCAGCAGCTTCTCACAGAAGCCACCCCTCTAGTCCCCCTGCTACCAAAACCTTGCCTTGAAATTAGAATCAGTGAAAGAAAGAGGCACACAGGAATGGTGTCCTCTTTGGGAATGGTATGCACTTGGGAGGGGAGCACAAGACCAACGATAAGGAGCCCGATGGTTGTACAACAATTGTAAGAGGAGGATCTGCTGGATAAATTCAAATTTATTACTACAATAAATTAAAGACACATCTGTAAGGTCAGCTGTGCGGAACATTCATGCTTCTTTGGTGCATGAATGGCTCCTGGTCTGGAGCCAGTTCACCCAAAAAGAAATTAATGCAGAACATGTGTGAAAACTGCTTCAGGTTGTGACCATACACATGAACTGATTAAAAAATGACAGTAATGCATTGCCAAACTTGGGAACTTTTTTCCTTTTCAATTGTTTTCTTTTACATTTAGTGACAGATATACGCAGAAGTCTATATTTGTAAAAAATTAACAGCAAAACAGTCAAACAGTATGCTGTTCCCCACCTTCAAAAGCTGAGGGACCATACAACAGTGTTGCACATTTCTTCTGGGCTCAGAGTGTTGATATGGAGTAGGTGGTTGTGCAAATTTTAGGAGATATATGAGTGATTTGGGAAGCTAGTAGTCTATTGAATTGGAGTGAAGAAAAGAGTTACACTGTGTGCATAACAAACAGGATACCACTAAGCTGCTTGAGGCAACATATGAACAAATTTATGAGTCAATTGTGATTGTTTGAAAAGAATGGTTACTTAATGAAACCTAAATGCAAGAGATGCTGAACTAGTTAGTGTCAACAGACAGGCTAATAATGCTGGTTTGGGGTGTGGGGTGTCTGCATACTCAAGGCATACCTGGTTTCCTTGAATTGGTCTGTCTGTGCTCGTGGTTGGTTGTTAAGGTTTTTTTACCTCTTGTTCAAGAGTTTCAACTGTGCTATCAAAAGACTTCTGAAAGGTAAACATCTTTTGCAGGAACAGGAAGGGGAAGAAGGTTAGTGCTCTCTTTCTGAGAAGAGCAATGACCACAGCAAAAGTGCAGCTGTCTTAAATCACAGCATTCCCCCAGCAAAGGTAAAAAGCTACCACCTATAAAGTTTATTAGCAAAATTCTCGTTGGTTTCTGTAGGACTAGAGGACAAGGCTCAGAGGAATTAGCAGCATCGTAAGGAAACATATTACTCAATGTGTGCCATGCTTCGTTTTAAATGAAAAGTCTTTTTTTCATTATTTCCTTGTGCAAGTGCAAGTTACTTTCCTGGATTGAAGGCAACCTCCCTGTTTAATTGGTTTACATTAGTACTGTGCAGATTTTCATCCTGCTGGTGCCCTGTAAAACTCAATGTCCTTCATTTTCATCTGAGCAAGTGACTTGACTCTAATGTGAGATTCCTGCTTTTTACAGAAATGTAGCACCAGAATACCTGCTTATGAAAGGCCAGTGTTAGTAGCAGAGTTCAAGCAGGTCCCTAAGGTTCATAAGTGTTCAGCAAGGGCAAAGCATTAGAAAATGAATGAGTTGATGAACTTTTAGAGGTCTCCAATGCCTAATTATTTCAAACGATGTCCCTCTCATAGGCTAATACTGGAGGAAGTTAACCAAAGTTAATTAGCATGTACTTTGGCAGTCTGCTCAGTTTAATTATTTTGCTACATTCTGTTAGGGCAGAGTATCCAGATAGTAATAATGATAAAAATGCCTAGTAAAAGTGCTTGCTTGGCTGAGTTGCTCCATACCATGAATGACTGCTTTTGTGCCATCACTGCTGAGTGGTGTACTTTGTATATGTTACCTGAGCAGACTCCGTTGCTAGAGCTGCAGCCAGACACCTAACTGCCATGGGAAACTAGGAGGTTAAATAATATTGGGATATATGATCAGCAATCTTACTTGATTGAGACAGTTGAAAGAAACAAAAGACCCCTCACAATATTTCATGTGTTCTAATCTTTTAAATTAAATGGAAGAAAAGTGTGATGTTTTAATGACATAGTACTCTGTTTAGAGTTTCAGGAGATCCATTGGGCCAAGATCTTTCTCAGTTAGCATTTTTATACCACTCAGAAGAGTCACACATTTCGGAAACAGGAAAAGACTACATATGGTACACTATGTGTATACAGCTTAGGGCAGGAGGCAGCTAGCATAGTTGTTAGAAAGGTATGACCAATTTAAATCCCAGCTGTGAATTTTTTTTTTTCATGATATAAACTAAAATCCATCTTTTGTGTATGGCTTCTTCATAAGGATGAGAATTCAGATAAATTGGTTTTTCTGCCAGTCTTAGAAAAAAACACTTGTATTATTCTTTCACCTGTAAACAGCCCACAGAGAATGGGTTTCGACGGTTAGCAATAAATTACATATGAGTAACAGTTTAGTAGGAAAAATTTAAAATAAGGAAATTATGGTTCTTATCCATTTTCTTCTGGGTCATACCATACAGGTTGTATTGAGCTGAGTTCCT